ATAGCCCACGCTCGATCGCGTCGTGTTTAAGATTCCTTAAACTTAATGACCTCTTTCATCCTCCCCTCAATATCAAATAAACTCCAACATTAGCCCAGGTTTAGTTTGGCCCCTTAAGCTCGCCATCCAAGCAATATTGCCTTTAACAGGATGCGATAAAATGCGGATAATGTCGCAGCCACTTGAGGGAATGATGGCGTGGGTTTATTAAGAATATGAGGCCCACGGTGAGGAGGAGCTTATCTAATTCCAGCAGGACACAGCAGCAGTGAAAGGAGATTCCCCGCTGCAGTGAGAATAAGGCAAAATGCTGTGCTAATAGAGCAACCGCTTTCTATTGCAGCAAAGCTAATGAAAAATGCTGACGGAAACACAGAGTCAGTGGCGGTTTATAAATATGCAACTCAAATAATTACAGGATTATTTTCGGTTCACAATGAGGCATTGAGCAGAGGCTTGATTTAGCGAACGTGTTTTACATAAATCCTTGTGTTTTTTGCACTGGTACAAACAATTTTCAAACAGCTCCATTTACCTGCTACATTCAGATTTGTGACGACATGCTACGTGTGCGACCTTCTGTGAACAACAGCTCCCTGTGCCGTAACGACATAAAAATGATGGTGAGCCTTCCTCTGTGGAGCTACACTTCCTGGCCACTTCATTAGATACAACAAAACTGTATATGAACACAAGACCAAATGCTGTATCTACTCTTCTACTATTTTTGGTTTTGTCATCTTTGGACCAACTGAGCCTAGTTGAGGGCTGACAAATATCTTCCTCCCCATGTTCATCCCTCATTACCAGCTATGTCTCCACCTTCTGACGGCTGCTTCCAGAGGTGAATGTAATGAACCATGTCACATTTAAAATAACGATAGACTAGGTTATTATTTTTGGCCATACTTTTAAATCTGCAGTTACTGAATGATGCGACTTTTTCAATCTATACCACACAGAATGCTCTTGAGCGTACACGGCTTTTTGAGTACATGAGCATGAGAGGCACGTAATTTAGGTAGATTAATGAGAACACAGAAAAGAAAAAAATGTACAGGGTGAGAGAAAATGAAACGCAAAATTACCTTTATCTTTTCCTCTTGCTCTGCCCCTCACTCTTGTTCACATGGCTGCCCCTTACCCTAAAGCTTGCTTTATTCATTTAAAGATTTAGCAGCAGTATTTTATGCAGCCTGAATTTTCAGGCCTCACATTGAATACAAACAAGTAGAAAAGTGCCTTTTGTTGGACTGGCCTGTCTTGTTCCTCTATGTTTTTCTCTAGTTAGTAGATATTTATAACCAGATAGAGTTTTTTATGACTTCCCTAATATAGAATATTGAGGTCAGGTCAGCAGGCTAAGAGGACGACTCGAATTCCGCTGAACACATCATGTTTTCAACATGTTATTCCCCTGCCATGAAAACATGCAGACATATTTAATTCATGGGAGCACATGTTTACATTACATAACAGAGAAAATGAAAGAGGAGTTTGGCTGCTCTGACCTATTCTCCTACAGATTGAAGAAAGTAAAAATCTTCTTTGAGCTCAGTGTTTTAAACAAAACTTTAAGGACACAAATTTACTAAAAATACTGTAGTTCACGGCTAAAAATGACATGGTGCCACTTAATGGAATTCACGTCAGATGTATTTATATCAATCTTTTTAAAGAACATAACACTAACAGTCACATTCTTCTGACATCCACTGTAGTGGAATGGAGAGGTTTCTGTTGCTAAAAAGAGAAATCTAAATACACCAACTGTAGATACCATCTGTACATGTTGATTAGCCTGTGACCTGGTGGTAAAAACACCAGGCTTGTTACCAAAGGTTCTCAGGTATAGACTGGCTATAGCATCGAACAAGCTCCGAGAATTCCTCACGCAGTCGACATCGCCCACCGCTCTGCAGGGATGGGGAAATACACAGGACGTGTCTGTTTATGTACAATGACCAATAAAGCTAATTCTTCTTTTTCTGAAGACGGCCTCCCCCGTCTTAGGAAAAGCCTGTTTATTGACACTAATCCTTCTATTGGGAGCCTTTGAGTAGATTTTCCTTAACTAATCTCTAACAACCTCGATCTCATTCTAAATTTGTGCAGAGCACTTGTTGCATCAGCCGAGCTACTACTGTGCATTTAATTGGACATTTGATGATCTGGAAAAATTTATTCTGGATTACTTCCTAAACTGCATTAGTCACTGCAGGAGTATTGGCCACATGCTGTGCAGCACAGTAGTAGAGCCCGGGGGGTGATGGACCTCTGACCTCACAATGTTAATCCAATTCACAACATTGTCATCATCAAGAATGCATTGAATGCTACATGCAGCAAAATGACATGAAACGTACGTAAAATAACTTATGAGTGGGAAGGGAAGCAGCAAATGACTAGAACAATACTGAAGTGTATATATACTGTATATATATATATATATATATATCTCACTCTTCTAGAAAACTGTGCAGTAGCAGAGTGAGGAAGGAAGACCGGAAAAAGTGTTTTGGTACTGCCCTGACCTTGGCCCAGGCTCCTCAGCTTAGTCTGTGAGGGATTTAGCCTATAACCCTAAATGTTTCAGCACAGCTAGGGTGGGAAACGCTGAGGTAGATGGAAGGAGGGAGGCCGGGGCAGAGCATCTCTCTCCCTCCAGCAATTAACACAACAGCAGGGCACTGCTCAGTGGTCTGTGTGTGCTTTATCCCCAAAAAAAACAAACATTTTTTATCTTTTTTCTTACCTGTTACTACAAGTTCTGTGGTCCTTCTCACCACGAAACCTCCAAACTGGATTTCACAGGTGTAATTCCCAATGTCATCCTCCTTTATTTCCTGGAAGGACAGGATATCTCTCTTCTGGATGATGCTGGCAGGCCACTGCTTTGGACGACACTCCTGAAAGTTGTAGGAAAAGAATTGACGATAATTATTAAGAAGGAACCAATCAGCTTCTTTGGCTCATAGAGAAACTTTTCAGTAATTACATATGTGACAACGACTGTATGTAAAAAACAGACAGAGCAATGCCTTGATTCGGGTGAATCCTGATTACAAACACCAGGTGTGCTCCATCAGCACAGGGAGTACTTTGAACGTATGCTCACATTCATGTTTTTCATCCTTAATCAGTCACTTACTCGTAACACTGATTCACACACTGCAGGTACGAAGTCCTAATTACAAACTGTTACTAATCCTTAATTACAACCAAGTTTCTGACCCAGAACCCAGGCCAGGGACTTGGACTCAGAAGCCAGTCAGTTTATGCTTCTGTGCCATTGGATTAAAAAGAAAGTTAAACTCTGCAGGTGTTACTGAGATGATTGTCTGCTGTGGTGACGTATATGAAAGGATGAAAGCCAATGTTTATTCTTTGTTTACATTCTGATGCAAATTGCCCTCAAATTAAAATGATCACATAACATGTGTTCTGTTAATTGCATTCATTTCCCTCTTCTTAAAGACACACGCCTCCTTTGGGTGAGTCGAATTTCAGTTTGCAGAAGCAGTGGCTGAAAGCACTTTAAACAGAAGAGAAAAACCTGTTCTTTTTTCATTGTGTTGCAAAGATTTGTCTGGGATTTGATATTTAACATAAATTCATTAGATTTTAGCCAAGTGGCTAATTTCAATCTCTAGTCCCATAGGCAGCTAACTGTTAAATACACAGAAAGAATACAGAAAAAACAGCAATAGATATAAGATAACTAATTTGATCTGTTATCAGCAGCCTGTTAGAATCAACATTTTAGTTTCCTGTATCTTTGTATTTTATCAGCAATATACAGTAAACAGGTTCCTGTTCTCAGATGATTTACCTGTTTGAATAAAGGTTAAATAATTAAAAAAAAACTACTGTCTTTATGTCATGTATTAATCCCTGCATAATGAATCTTTACCCACAAATGTTAAGAAACATTTCTTTTGTTTTCAATACCACATATCTACCTGAAACTTCTTTTTTTTAAACTTCAGTTGTATTGGACACATGAGCTTCAGGTGTCACTGAACATTAAGCAGGCAGATAAAGTAGAGTGGATGCACAGCTTGGCACTGGGACATCAAATCAGTCCGGTAAAATGATAAGGCTCTACCATTATCCTGCTGATCGGATCAAGATTTATTGCACTGAAGTGAATATTCTCCATTCAATACTTCAGGTGAAACCACAGAGGAGAGAGAATGTTATTTGCAGAAGTTCCTGCGGGCAAAATAAGTGTTCCTGTGCCTATGCAGTGCAGGTGTGTATGTGTGTGTGTCTCGGAGATGAGATGTGTGTGCCGGCACAATGTGTGACTCTGTGTGACATGATCCTCTCCCATGTGCCTCGGTGCTCTGGTAGGGACAAGTCTTGCTCTGCGAATTCTCTCTTACCCATTGCTCCTGGCAAACTTTGAATTCAATCACTGCTGCTCCACGGTCTTCCAAATAACTCTGAGTTCCAGCACTCCCAGTCATTACCCAGGCCATAATTGAATTCTGGAGAAACCTAGAGGTCAAGCTCGGGCAGCTAATCTACTACTGATCTGCCTGTGATTAGTCTGGCCTGAGAACCTCCCTGGGATGTGCTCTGTTGTCCGCAGGCTGTCCCTGACCTGGGAGAAGGGAAGAACCTAGGTGAGGGAGGAGATGAGACGGTGCGTGCAGAATAAAGATCAGAGAACAGGGAGGTGTTTAGAGGACGTCCACTCATTTCTGCAGGGCACAGAGTGACATTGAACAATATTCTTTTCCCTCAAGTTTCATGTTCATTATAGGAGGTGTCTCTGTGGATGTCTTCAGCTGAGGACTAACTCACTTTGGATGACTGCTAAAGTGGATCACAGCTCACAGAGCTCCTACCATGCACTGCCTTCATGTGCATCCAAACATACAGTTGTCTGTCTGCCCTGGACAGTGGCAGGATCATTTAGCTGTGACTTCATAAATGTATATAGATAAAATGTCAAGGATAATTATATGTAATGTCTTTTTCAAATTAACAGTAGTTTTTGAACTTTTAAACTGTTAAATCTAACGGACCTAAGAGAACATTGTTTGATAGAAATGTGGCTAAACTTGGTAGCTAGCAATTAAATACACCAGCAATTCAATAATAACTTTTTAAGAACCCTTGGAACCCCTTCAAAAAAACAACAACAACAAAGAAAAATACAAATTACACCCTTGGTTTAACTAATCTGGAACCTAGCTTCCAAAACAGATTTTAAACATAAACAACCAAGAAATTAGATGAAAACAAAATCAATGGACCTCTAAAACAGTGTTTCCTGCTTGTATTAGCTCAGACCTTTACCCTCCATTATTACAGTGCCCCAACAGAGTATCTGAGACAAACCAGAAGACATCTGATGATAACACATGAACATGCTCAGTCAGACAGCCAGGCTACCTTGTACCAGACGATGTCTGGATCTTTGCCAGGTTCCACGTAGTTGTCGATGTTAGTGCACTGAATGTCTTTGCTCTTGCTGAGCTCAGCTTTCTCTGCTCGCCTCATGTTGGAGTTGTAGCACAGATTTGTGTCGTTTTCCGCCACGGTCAGAGACATGGACACCTTCATGCAGTAGGTTGAGTTCCTGTGGGCAGAGAAGGACAATGCTTTATCTCTTTTTTGGCATCCTTTCATACTCCTTTAGGGACTATCCCGAAAGTGTTTTGACAGAACAAATGAAAACACTGACACTGTCGCTACGCGGCCTCATAAAAGCTAAATTTAATGTTTATTCGCTTTGATGCCCTTTCGGTTATTTTCATCCACTTCTATTGCTCCCATCTTCCTCCTCCTCCTCCTATGTTTTGTGGGGTTAGTAATAACGACGTGTTCAGCAGCTTTACCGAGTCAATGACTCACGCTCACGACCATTATTGGATTTATGGGGGGAGTCGGCCAGGCCTGCGAATGCTAATCAGAGGAGAGACAAATGCTGAGGAGTGCCTCAGTCTATGAGGAGAGGGGAAAGCTGCTTGGTCATCATAAGGACTAGGTCTGTCCCCATCCCACATGTCCCTGGTTTCTGGGCAACCATCAGCACACTTCACCCCTGATACACAGGAGCTGACAGAGGTGAAGGATGCCTCTCTCTCGCCCTCTCTCTCGCTCTCTCTGTCTCGCTTTTATTAATGTTGTCATGAGCATCATCATTAACCGCCATCAGCTGCAGTCATTTCAACCCCCGTCACTGCTGCTGACACAATGCTACACCGATACACACGCTACACCTAAAGTGAGTGTGACAAGGTGCTCCCTGCAAAACCTCTGCCCTACATATCCAAAAGTATCAGGACAACCATGGAAAAAAAAGTTGACAACTTCGCCTCTGCCATAGGGTTTTGTGTAGCAGTGACTGGACTTCCAGTCAGAACTAAAGCCTCACTTCTACTGGACAACAAGTCATTTAGACCTAATGTTTTTAGCTTGTCAAACTCTCGTATTGTCATTCCTCAGGAGCAGAAATTGCAGAAGAAGAAGCATGGTGGGTTACCTTTCTTTGTAGGTGTATGCTAATTTGTAGATCTGCTAATATTAGGTCCTAAATGTGGCATTTGTATATGCTACAAGTATAGCAAAGATTTCAGACAGGACCAAAAATAATGCTAGAGATGATTTCTTTGTACATTATACATATAAATGTACGTCAGAGGAAGGAAAGAAATAGCAATTTTATAACTTTAGCTAAAGCTGTTTAATCAGTGTAGCAGAACTAGCTTAATGCATACAGCCATAAAGATAGCCATGTAAGTAAAAGGTAAAAAAGAAAGCAATTGTGACTTTTTTCTACTTTATCAAACCTTGAAAAGAGGCAGAACAGCTAAATCAAGGGGATCTGACTCTCATTAAAGACCACCTTCACCTCAGTAATCACCGTATGTTTTTCTTACTTTTTTTTTAACCCGGCCGCTCCCTTCTGCCCGGCTATGGTGTGCTTTGGTCAGTCCAACGGCCAGTCTAATGGCATGGCTGTACTTACAGCCATATGTGCTTTCATTACATTACATTTACGGCTGGCCAGATGCTCCCATTCACTGAAAATGACAGGGTTTCATATGATCTACTCAGGTTATGGAAGCAATGAGGGAGTCACCCTCTTTCCTATAAAAACCTTTGACCTCCCCTCCCCGGGGACTGTAAAACAAGGCTGCAGACCACAACATGGCTGGCTCTTACATGGGTGAGAGATAAATGTAGCAATGAGGCTGAAAGAGAAATAAGAACAGTAGGAGAATATCACCAGGGAACAAAGGGAATAATGGCTGTTTTCTCCTACATGTAGAAGAACTAAAAACAAAGAGAAACATCTGGATATTGCTATTGGAAAAGTAGACAAAATATTATAACTTTAGTGGTAGGGATGGCTCAATACAACTTCAAAACAAAATTTCTGATACCAATACTGCAACTTGGTATATCTGCAGATACTGATATCAATCCGATACCTTCTTTTATCCTTTTATCCTCCAGCATGTTGTGGGCTGCTGTTGCTGAGGTAGTGTCCCTGTTTATGGCAAGTTACGCAAGTTAAGTTGAGCTTTTGGGGTCAGGTATCACACTGGACGGGCTATGTTTGATCCAGAAAATATATTGATACCTAATATATCCCTAGTTAGTGGTCTTGGTAGCAAGTACGAGTACAAAAAGAACATCCAACAAAAGGTTGATCTTAAAAAAAAAAGTTTTAATTTTGTTTAATTATTTCCTCTTCCCATACAGTTAATACTCAAGGATTTTGTCTTTGTGTGTATAAGCCAACTACAGTTCTGCTGTGTACTAGTGTGTGACCCTGTAGCACTTTGAAGGAATTGCATTTAGAAATACTCCTGTTAAACAAGGGGTGGATTTATACTTATGGCGGTTCGGCTTTGTAAAGAATAATTATTTTCTTCAGTAGAAGCAGAGTGATAAGATTCCTGTCTTCTACACGCAGAACTCCAGGTTTGTAACTACTGTACCTCAAATCCCATGGACAGGGACCTCAGGGAGTGGTACGCAGCATATCCATGCTCAGAGAAGCAAAGTCAAAAATCTTTAAAGAACAACTATAGTAAACCCCAGGCTTGTTGAATGTGAGATGATCAGAAATGACCCCTCTCAGCAGTGCACCTGAGACATTTAAATCTCCAGGGAGTCAACAGGAGACATGTGCTCGCTAAATATGCACAGCGGGCTCCCTATGGCATTGTGGGAAGGTGTTGGCGGTGCAGCTTGATTGATGGACAGCCAGGGGTCGATGCAGAGTCCTGTGTTGTCTTTCACGTCTGTCACATTCTATTTGAGTGTGGCCGGGTATTAGTCCTGGATATTAGTCTGAGGCAAACACACTTTATGAATGTTATTATTCCCATAACAGGAAGTGATACTTGTGATGTCACAGGCTACTGTTAAACGTATCTGGTAACCTTGATTGGTACAGTGTAACACTGTGAAAATATTGGTTCATTTTTTTTTAAATGTCAGGCTCGTCTTTTGATTAGAGGTTCACATGCCTGTGTGTCCCTGGGTAGACACTGACCTTGGGTTGCTATTAAAATCTCGCCACTGAATGCTGATTAATAAATGGTTGTGTAAAGTGAGCAAAAAGCAAAAATAGAAGCTGCAGACCTCAACCATATTACAAAAAACAAATTTGAAGGTATTTTCTGAAACTGAAATGATCTAAATGATAATTATTGCAAATGGAGATTAACAAGGTCAGACATATTTATAACTGCAAGACCTATCAGAATAGTCAATCAAGTCATGATGATGTAATGTTTTTATTTGTGGCCCATTCAAACAGAACACATTAAACCTCTATGGACCTCACAGTTCTAATCTGAAAATCAAATAGACCCATAAAATGATTTACCTTATATGAAGCATGGTTTTCTGTAGGTGATTCAACGTGTGGTGATGTTGAAAGGTTTTTAGAGAAACATTTGTTTGTTCGTCCACAGCAGCGCCACTAAACTGTGGTTTTTATAGTCTGCATTAATCAGATGAAGTCAAAATATTTACTTTCTCTTTCCTGTGTTGGGATGAATTTCAAGAGAGAGAGACACAGAGAGAGAGATGAAGTCATGTGCTCTGAAAAAAAGCACCACTCAAAAGCTTACTCCCTAACAAAAAGAGAATTTATTTGAGTGCAGAGACAAATCTCTTGCAGCGCTCTGATTAGGATATCTGAGAATTCTAAAATCCCTCAAGCTCAAGACTAGCAGGCAGGGAAACACGGTGGGGGGTCCGGGGCGTGGTGCAGGTTTTTTGCAGTTTTTTTTTTTAACTGTAGTGCTCTACAGGATTACAGCATGATCTGAATTTCAAACATAGCAGCACAGACTTAGTTCTACAGAGTGCATTATGGGAGATACAGAGATTCAGTGCATCCTTCAAGCGTAACCGGGTCTTCGAGGGGCCTTTAACCACATTTATTAAACCTCTGAAATGTGGAGCTGCAATGAGGCATTTATTGAGCGATGTTCTCTATTGTAAAGGTTAATCACTTACTGCCACATAATGATGCATCCGGTTTTAGGGAGAGTGTGTGGGCATTAACTCACTTAGGCGGGTATGAGTGTGTGTTTTTGTTATTTATTTAGTTGTTTACGTCTTCCCTTCCCCAGTATGTGCATTTGCACATGGCAAAGCTTTTACTTCTGCTCTAATGTGACATTATACCTAAATAGATATAGAAATAAAGTTCTCACTTTACTTCAGTGAGAGAATTAAAAACAAAATTTAAAAATAAAATTGGATTATTTATTAAAGTTTTATTTTTTTCCTCCCACAAATACAACTTGGAGGTTTTGTGTTAAAATTAATAAATAATGAAAGATTTTAATTCTGTTTCATTTGGGAAAGATTTAAAAGGCATTTGTATGGCAAAGCCATACAAATGATGTCCAAACCCAAGGATGAGAAATGTAATAAAATAGAAACAGTTGGATTAGGTTTAAAAAACATCATGAATATTGAAACCCGCTTCAATGCTTTGTTATTTTTTTTGTTTCATAAGTTTGAGGTTCTCTATTGTTCTGCATTGAGATGCCATTATTGGCCACAATTTAAAGATTTTAATGTTCGCAATAAATAATTAAATTCTTCCTACCGTAGGACACAAGAGTAGAGGCCGATGTCCTGAAGTTCAGCTGGTCTGAACCAGATGGCATCCTCCTCTTTGCTCATGCGTGAGCCGTCAAATGAGATGGGCTCCTCAAAGTCGCTGTGCCCCAGACCAGAGCTGCGGTACCACATCAGGCTGAGGCCCACACTCTGCGCCTGGCTGTAGTTGGCCCGGATGTAACCATAGAACAGGGCGCACTTCAGCCTCACTGGTTCACCCTGCAGCACCCGGTACTTCAGGTAGTCTACAGACCAGTCTGTGCAGCCATCCACTACGAAGACAAAGATGAGGACACGTTTAGAAAAACTCACCACATGGAATGACATTAAATCACTGCATTAGCCTAGACTACTGTGTAACATTTTATTTGTCAGTGGAGGATTGCTGTTGGACTCTGATTGGCCCACAGCCTCTCCTCACCTTTGCAACATTTCCATCCATATTCAGGGCACATCTGCCTCCTCAACCACTGCATGAAATTCAGAAACTCTCCTCCAACATTCCAACATGCAACCACTGTGACATTAGGGTATGATCTGTGGAATATCTCTGTAAGTGGTGCCAAGGTGCTGCAAGTGCTTAAGATAAACACTGTACACTGTAGGTCAAATTCATTCAGTGCAGAACAGTTTATCCAACGTATATTGACCGTAATTTATGGTCTATTAGCGCACCGAAATATGGGCTAAACTCACTCAATTTAAAAAAAAACATTGTACACATTTGCCGCACTTTTCTATAGGTCGCATGTGTCCACATTGTAACATGGAATATTCACACAGAATTTTATTTTTTTTTACTTTTAATTGAATTAATGTTTTTTTTCGAACAGTGCCTGTAACACAGAACCCAAGCTAACATTAGCTCCGGAGCTAACTTCCTTCACTAATCGCTATCAACTTCCTCCTGCGCACTAAAACCACTAAAGTCGTATTCTTCAGGGTCGGAATTGAACAGCCTCAGAATTGCTGCGTCACACACTTTCTCAGTCTCTCTTTCGTTGTCGCTATAAATGTCGCTTTTGTCTCGAGGCAAATTCGCACCTGAGCTTGTGTTGTCGTCTTCATCGCGCAGCAGTCCAGCCTTTCGAAACCCGTTGGTGGTAGTGGAGTTTTTGACTCTGCTGCATGCTATCAGGATCCACTGGCATAATTGAGCGAAAGTTGCTCTTCACCATTTTTGGTAAATGATTTCTCGCCGCTAGTCATGCAAAGCCTCCCACACAATTCGTGTGTGTCGTAAAAAAATCCATAAATTAGCCGCATTATTGTTTATTGCAGAATAAGTGCGTGCAAAACAGTAATTTGTGCAACAATTTATTCTGCAGCACCTCCCTCTGGTAGATTTATAGAACAATGTTTTTTTTCCCAAACAACTGAAACAGGTTCTCATTCTCATTTAACAGAGAAATAAAATAACAGGCCATGTTTGCCCTCTGTGGCACAAAAAATAAAATGTTGCAATTTAGCAAGAGTTGCATGACCCTCAAGCGGGCCCGCCCCCCACATTGGCAACCACTGACACTGTGTGCACATACGACGGTATTTACTTTTTTAAAATTCATGATGTGTACACTGAAAAATAAATATATGGATACTTAATTGAAATCACTAAAGAACCTCTAAATAACCTAGTTTCATTAATGATAGATGTCACCACACATTGGTTACTAGGCAGAACAGGAACAGTGGAAGGCAGAAAAACAATTGGAGAAACTTTTGACAAAAATCAAAGACACTGGCTCAGCTCCTCAGGAACACTCTCTCTACAATCTCTGACTCAATTCCCCCGCCATGAGACGTTAACCCGTGGCCAGCTATCAGCCTGACTAATTCAGCAGCATTTGTTTATCCAGCAGGAGTATATTAGGGAGTGCATGTGTAACCAGAGAGTCTGAGCAGGAGAGGGAAGAGGAGGTGATGTGCTGAGATAAAGAAATAAGATCCCTGCTGTGTGTAAGTCTGTGAGTGATACTGAGGCTCATGGGGACAGCTATGCTTGTAATTAATACTCTTAATTACCGGCGAAATAATGTGTGTGTCAGTATGTGTTGTGCGTGCACGTGTGTTCACATGCATTCTCTACACCAATGGCAGCCTGCCTAATTATGTCTGTTAATTACCAGGAAGCTTATCCACAAATGTGGGCGCGCTTACATGCGAATGCAAGAGTAACAGAGAGCGTGTGTGTGTTTCCGTGTGTGCACGCGCACAAGTGTGTGTCTCAATGTGTGAAATTGTATCTAATTATCACTCCTAATAATTAGAGCCCCCGTAGAGACACCGCTGTTCATGAAATCCTCCCGACTTTGAAACCTTATTGTACGACTGTGAACATCTTGAGCGATGTGAACACTGTAGACATTCCATCACCTCCACACGCTTACAGGTCTCCATTCATTCAAAAGCAATGGATTAAAATATGACAGAGAGCAAATCTGATGTCTATGAACTGAAAAATCTCATTTTAAAAGAAATTTATCATTTACAACACCCATTTTCAAAAGTTACACCTTCTTCAGAATTAAAAAAAACACCAAAAAACTCACTTAATCTCAATAAGCTTTATTTACCCAACACCAAAAAAACTTTAATCTCAATAAGCTTTATTTACCCAAAATGTACTGTCAACACGTTGACATGTGTGAAAGCCAAGGGCAGAAACTGCTGCTTAATGTGCATGATTTAACATACTGTAAGTGCCCTTTTATGGAAATTTGATTCTATAGTGTAGCGGTTATTACACCAGCAGGAGGTGCAGGGTTCGAGACCAAAAGGGGCCACATACTCAATGGCGCCTCCTGTGGCAGCCTGTGTGGGTTGCAAAAACTCACATAGGGAATTTTCTCATTGTGGGATGAGTAAGGGTCTTTTTTTTTTACAACATTAGAAAATCCAATTAAAAGTTCTCAAAAAAGGTTCAAAAGAACCTATTTGTATTGGTAAGAGGGTGCTTTGATAACACACACAAAGATACCATTGTGGCAAATACTTTCTCCCTAAACTCTACAGTGGAACAGAGCTATGGAGAGGAAACAGTGACCACTGACCGTCGGCAGCTCAAAAATAAACCACACTCTTGTGATTTCAACAGGAGTGTGTGATCCAGTGATATTGTCCCATGTCTCTAATGTCCAAATGAGTTCTTTAATCCATTATTTAATCCTGAAAGCACAGGTTTATATATTCTGCATTTATACTCAGAACATTTAAATGTCTAAATGAGAGTTCAGGATCTAAATCACTCCTACATTTCAGAGTAAATTTCCTACGAAGGCAGCAGGTAACTCCTCTACCGTCTCTGCATATCAATCTGCTAATCAGCAGGGACAGCAGTGGCTTCATTCAGCCTTTTCTTCATTCACCCTCCACACCTCTAATTCATATGACCTCTGCCTCTCCAGCACACTGAATCTCTTCCAGCTCTCTGTCACGGCACTGGCTGTTTATTCTGGTGAGCAGTGTATTCTGTTAGCAATAACAAAAAAGTGTCACTATGTGAGTCGGAGATAATAATGAGCCTGTGGTGTCTCTGTCTAAGCAGCAAATCTTAACCTTGTTGACTGACCTCTAGTGGCCAGAGTAATTATGGGGGTGGCCTTCGGGAGCAGTTATTGTCCATGCCACCCACAGAAGACTTTCCCAGCATGACTGCATTCTGACAGGTTTACAGTGAACAACTCATCTTCTTTAGATGATGTGGCCAAAAAGGCTAATGCTAACTAAGTTAGTCTTTAGCCTTTTGCCACAGTACAACTGACATGTGTAGTTTGTTATTTTGGTGTAAATGATCCTTTCTGTTAGCTCTCATGCTAAACGCAAGAACAACATGATATCACTGTTTTCAAATGAACACTTCTTGAAATGGACCGACAATATATCCAAAACATCAGGATAGTTACTAAAAAATAGTATTTTCCAATCAATGGAAATGCCATTTTGATACTGTGCCTGCCACTCGTGTGCAATTCTGAGGGCTTCTTAGGGATCTTGACCTGGATGATTATTGAAAATTAAATTAAAGTTCCACAATGGAGAAATACACAGTGTGAGTCTTTGCAACCCACACAGGCTGCCACAGGAGGCGCCATTCACTATCTGGCTCCGCTGGGACTTCCTCCATGACCTTTTGGTTGTGAGGCGTGTGTAATAACTGCTACACTATGAAACCACTATTTAAATAATAACAATAATTATTATCATCATTGTTATTAAGATGGCATCACATTTGTGAGGTTTTCTGCCTCTAAACCTACAGTAAGGGTAGGTTTATTTTGAAGAGTAGTCACAGGTCAACATCAAGGTCATTTGTTGAACTGAACCCTTGATCTCATGTATAACGGCATACACACAGCAAAAGGTCCACTACTAAACCGCCAGTTTGGATTTTATTAACACTGTGGCCTCAGGCTAACAATATTAATGTTTGAAATTTAAAGCGGTTTTATCAACTCAATTAGATAGCTGACATTTGCCTTGTCCGCACGCTGGGCTGGAGAAAAAACAAAAATCAATGACTCCTGCTGGAGGAGTGCTGCAGTCCCAAGCTCTCACTCCGTGCTGACAACACACACACACACACACACACACACAAGGTCCGGGTGCCTCTGGGACCGTACACCTTTGTAGAGATTTTGTTCAACCATTCTCAGACAAGGCCTTGTGTTACAGGACATTTCCATATGGACACACTCCCATGTGGCTGTCAGCCTGGACTCTGCTCCACTGAGTCGGACCGACTGCAGCACTGGAAGCAGCAGAACGCCTTCGTTGGTCGACCCCGTTGGTCGACTGACGCTGCTACATTCTGTGGCCACTGCTGTGCAGTAACTGCATGTGGACAATGTCAATGTCAGGTCACTGTGTAAGAGCACGTTCGTATGTGTGTGTGTGTGTGTGTGTGTGTGTACGGGGGAGTCCTTATGGAATTGTCATTACGTTCTGCATCAAACCAGACCTGTGGGTTTTGGTGTGACACTCAACCAAACCAATAAATACACTGCCCTCGGCTACAATACATCTGAGTCAGACTCATGCATAAACACTCATTTAACAAGTGCACACCTGCTCCCACATACATTAGTATACAGGAGTATAATCAACTTCCCATTACATCCATCTCACAACACTACACTGCAGAGGAATATGTTGTCAATTTATATATATATACTGTATATACTGTATAAACACAGTACAGTTAACCCACTGCGATGTGTCTCATACTCTGGTGTCACTGCTCAGGAATCGGCCTCTCCTCTCTCATCACTTCCTG